TGGAAAGAACTCTCCAGACATTTGTATGGAATAACAAAAGACCACGCATAGCCAAAGCGATACTGAACAAAAAAAAATAAAGCTTGAAAACAATTTTCTATTGGTGATTACTTTCTCACTATTCCAAATAATGCTTCAAGAGACATCCTTGTCTATACATTTTTCATACATCTCTGATTTTCCCCTTGAAAGAAATTCCTAGATGTGGAATTGTTAGGTCAGAAATAAGCAAACTTTTTAAGGCTTTTGATACATACTGATGCATAACTTTCCAGAAAGTTTTGTCAATTTACAACCTGCCTAGCAATGTTTGAGTGTGAGTATTTACCCATATACATACTAAATATTATCATTCATTTTAATCTTTGTCAATCTGTTGTATGCAAAATGGTGAATCACTGCTTTTTTATTGAAACATAGTTGATTATACATATTTATGGGGTACAGAGTTGACTATCAGTATTTGTGTACAGTATGTGATNGATAATTAGCATATTCATCATTGCAAAATGTAATCATTCTTTGGTATATCTGCTTTAAACGTTGTATTCTTTTAAATTGCTATCCCAGTGCAGGAATAAGAGCATAGGTCTGGAAATCAGAAAGACCTGGGTTTGAATTCTGGTCTGCCACTTACTAGCCAGCATGTCCTGGATGAAATGTTCTCCCTTCTCCAGATCCCATTTTCTCATGGGAGTAATAATTGTAACTGAGTCATATGACCAATTGGTGCTAGAATTACACAAATACCTAGTACTGTACCTGGCACAAAGTAAACTCTCAATAAATGTTGTTACTGAGTAAACTATTTTAAGGAAGAGAAAAAGAAGGAGGTTGATTGACCATTTGTATTTTCCTTTTAAGAACTGTCAGATTATCATGCCCTTTGCCCATTTTNGATTGACCATTTGTATTTTCCTTTTAAGAACTGTCAGATTATCATGCCCTTTGCCCATTTTTCTATTTGTTTATTCAAGTGCTGTTTGAATATATTTCTATTTAAGTATTAGTTATCATATTATTAGAATATATCTCTATTAAGTACGTCAACTATATTTCTATTTAAATATTATCAACTTTCTATCTACTATTTACTGATATGTTTTCCCAGTTTGTCTGCCTTTCTACTTTGTTAATAGTGTTTCTATAAGGAGAGAAGTTTTACATTGCTGTGTAGTCTTTCCATAATTGCCTTTTTCTTTTCATGGCATTATTTTCTGAAAGACTTTCCATATGCTAAGATTATGAATTCAGCTAATCATATAGACTGAAGTTTACGTGTCACTTGAGTTCTTTTTATTTTACCCCTTGGTGCTCGCGTCTTTCTAACACTGCACGTATTCTCGTTTCAGGGAGCGCCTGTGGTGGAAAAGCTAGAAGAACACGAGTCTCTTGTCCCCATGTTTGTCACAGAACTGATATTGACGGTCCAGTCACTATTCTTCGAGCCTTCTTTGGAAGACTTTCTGGTGTGTGTTTCTCCAAATACCATCCACATATAAGCACCTTTTTGGAAAATGAAGCAACCGTTTTACTGTCAAATGGTTGTCAGGATTTCAGTAGCCACTTTTTCAAAATGATTGTAAGAGAGAAAGCATCGTTCTGTCCCCACGTTGCATCTACATACAAGCGATCTAAAAGTTTAGCACGTTTTTTTTAACTTGAGACCGATCGGGGTCTTGCTAAGGTACACCATCAAGAGAACATATTCTGTACAAAATTTAGAATTGACTATAGACATCACTCTAATAAGAGTCCAAGAAATCACTCTGTTATAAATATCACTTTTGAAATGATAAGCTCTATGTGTAGACGTGTATTTGAAACAACTAGTGGGGATGATTAAGGCTAATGACTGACATAATAATGAAAAAAATAGAAAATTCATGAATGATAGCCTTATTAAGGTTTCTGTTGGCTAATGATGGGTTATATGAAATTAAATCTTATGTTCGTATGAGCACATAATCACGCTGATTATGCCCAGAGCTCGGCCATGTATTTCTCATGTGTGGGAATTAAAGACACCGGTGTGGCCCGCTCTACAGGCAGTTTACAATATGGCTGTTTGCTTCTTCAAGGCCAGCTGGAGAATTTCTCTCAACAAAGGCCCAATCCCTCTTTAAAGGGCTTTCGCTTGATTTAGTCAGGTCTATCCAGGATAATCACCTTTTTTGACTAACTCAAAATCAACTGATTTGGGACGTTAATTATATCTGCAAAATCCCTCCACCTTGGCCATATAATGTAATCTAATCATGAGAATGACATCCCATCATATTCACAGGTCCCGCCCATACTCCAGAGGAGGGATTGTACAGGGTATATATACAGGGGACAGGAATCTTGGGGCCATCTTAGAATCCTGACTACCACATTTGTGTATNTATATACAGGGGACAGGAATCTTGGGGCCATCTTAGAATCCTGACTACCACATTTGTGTATGTACACAGATTAGTGAACCAGAGTCTGTATTTTCTGTTGTTAGCTGGTATACTGTGATGCAAAAGTACTAGTAATCAGGATCACTAGATTTTAGTCTTGGCTCTACAGTTAATAAGCTATTTGACTTTGGGAAAACCACCTACCTCTCTGGGATTCAGTTTCTGCCGTTGTAAGATAAGAAGGCAGACAGAGTTCTAGGGTTGCTTCCTATTCCAGCAATCTATGATTCTGTAATTCATGGTAGGCTATTTTAAGACATTTACAGTGACAGGCAGACTGCTGACATCCCTGTGGTTGGAACCTTGCTCAGGAGCTTCCATGCAGAGAGGTGCTGGGCTCTCATGTCCCCTCCTGGCCACAAGACATGTCCTTCACATGGGGCGCAGCTCTGTGGACATCTGCCCTGTGCTGCAGGTGACACAGGAAGCTGACTGTTCTTTACGCAAAAGGGACAGGCCTCAAAAATCTCTAGACCTTTCCCATTTCCTGTTGTCGGACCCTGCTTCCCACACAGTTATCTTTAATTCCCACACCAGAAAAATACATAGCCAAGCTCTGGGCATAATCAGCATGTTTATGTGTTTGTACCAATGTAAGATTTTACTTCATATAACCCATAATTAGTCGATAGAAGCCTTAATAAGGCTATCATTCATAAATTTTATTTTTTTTCACTATTATGTCTGTCATCAGCCTTAATCATCCCCATCTAGTTGTTTCAAATACACATCTACATATAGAGCTTATTCTTTTTTTTTTCCCCTTTTTTGTCTTTTTTTGCATCCCCATCTAGTTGTTTCAAATACACATCTACATATAGAGCTTATTCTTTTTTTTTTCCCTTTTTTGTCTTTTTTTGGTGTCCGGCAACGGATCGCAACCCTCAGTGTCGCGCCCATACTGGACCGGGACCGGCAACGGGATCGCAACCCTCA